ATCTTTTTTATGAAGAAAAGTAATGTAGAGAATAGAACTGAATACAGGTTTTATAATTATACTTTGTCCAAGAAATAAGGAAAGGCAAACTGATAGGCTGAATAATGGTGTGACAGCCTTGAGTATGGAAAGCATCTCAACATGAAGACAGAATCCTCACCATTGGACCAATAAACAACATCATAATAGATGGGGAAAAGATTGAAGTCGTCAGTGATTTAATCTTACTCTGATCCACAATCAACACAGTCAGGTGATCAGGAGGCATATTACACTGGGAATGTCTGCAGTCAAGGACCTCTTCAAAGTCTTGAAAGACTAAAGATGTCAGTTTAAAAACTAAGGTGTGCCTGATTCAAACAATAGTCTTTTCAATCACCTGCTATTCCTCTGAGAGTTGGATAAAGAATAAGGATGACAGAAGAGTTATGGTGTTTTTGAGGTTTGATGCCTTTGAGTTATGGTGTTGGAGAAGAGTACTGAATACTCTTAGACTGCCAAAAGAATACGTATGTCTTGGAGAAAGTACAGCTAGAGTGCTCCTTACAGGCAAGGATGGTGCAGCTTCATCTCACATACTTTGGGCATGTTTCTGGGGGCAGGAAGATGGCTATTCCTTGGAAAGGGACATCATTCTTGGAAAGGTGGAGAATCCATGAAAGACAGAAAGACCCTCAGTGAGATGGATTGCACAGTGACTGTGACAATGGGCTCAAGTATGTCAGAGGTGAGGATAACACAGGATAAAAAGGTTCAAATCAAATCTGTTGTTTGTAGGGGTGCTAAGAATCTTGAATCAAGGTACTGAACAGCAACAACTTATAGTCATTTTTGAATGATTAGAATTTTGAAGTAGTATTTTGCTTGCATGTGATATTAATGATATTGTTTGATCTACATCTGCCTCTGTTAGTTCAAACATGTTCATCAGTATCCCATTCATTCCTGGGGCCTTATTTTTTGCAATCCCCTTCAGTGCAGCTTTAACTTCTTTCATTGCCATTGGCTTTTGTTTATAGGATACTTCTGAACTTTTTCAGTGTCAGTCAGTTCTTTTTGGTATGGTGACTCTATGCTTTCCCTCCATTGTCTTTTGATGCATCCTGGATAATTCAACATATTGCTCATATTGTTGTTGTTGTGTACCATTGAGTCAGAACCTACTCATGGCTGACCTCCAGTGGGTTTTCAGATACAGTTAATCACAGAGGGGAGATTGCCCATCCTTTTCCTGCAGAGCAGCTGGTGGATTCAAACCAAATGCCTTTGGGATCGTAGTGCAGCTTCTTGCCATTATGTCACCAGAACTCAATATTGCAACGTGAGGCTTAAATTTATTTCTCAGTTCTCAGCTTGATAAACTCAGAGTGAATTCTTCCCTTTTTAGTCTCCAATTCTAGCTCTTTGTATATTCCATTGTAATACTTTGTTTTGTCTTCTCAAGCTGCCCTTTGAAATCTCTTGTTCAACAGTCATGAGCAATAATGTCAGTTTAAGGACTAAGGTGCATCTGATTCAGGCTACGTTCTTTCTGATCATTTGCTATACACCTAAGAGCTAGACAGTGAATAATAATGACAGAAGAAGAATTGATGCCTTTGAGCTATAGTGTTGAAGAAGAGTACTGAATATCCTATGGATGGCCAAAAGAAAAAGCAAATCTGTCTTTGAAAAAGTGCAGCCAGAGTGCCACTTGGAGGCGAAGATGATAAAGCTTCTTCTCACATACTTTGGGCTTGTTGCTAGGAGAGGCTATTCCTTGGCGAGGGACATCATGTTTGGAAACATGGCAGGGCAGTGAAAGAGAGGAAGACCCTCAACCAAATGGATTTACACAATGACTGTGGCAATGGGCTCAAGAGATGGGTATGTCAGAAATGATGAGGATGGTATAGGATAGGGCAGGGTTAAAATCTGTTGTTCAGAGGATTGCTTTTGACTAATGGCACCTAAGAACAATAACAACAAGGTCCAGAGAGTTCTGGTCACCTAGTAGGAAAGGGTGTTGCTTCACCTACTCAACAATGTCCAGGTCAAACTCACCAGCTGCTCCAAGGAAGAAATGGGCTATCTCCTCTTGTGCAATTTACAGCCTCTTAAAAACTGCTGGGAGACAGTTCTGACTAACAACAATGAGGTGGGTTTTTTGTTTTGTTTAAATGCTGTCTATATTCTAATCTCCAGAATTTGTGACTGTGATTCTTTACATTGCAAAAAGTACATTGCAATTCTGAGACGATGATGATAATATGTTGGTGGGCCCAATATAATTATGAATTTTCTTATAAAGGAAATAAGAGAGAGTAAAAGACAGAGATTGGAAGTTGTTATGCTACTGATTTCAAAGACGGAGGATGGGGCCACGAGTAAAGGAATGAAGGTGGCCTTTAGAAGGTAGAAAAGTCAAGGATATGAGCTCCCATAGAGTTTCTAGAAGGAAGAAATACATGTCATCTTTATTTTAGGACTCTGACCCTTAGTGCTGTAATAGAATAATCTGTGTTTTTTAAAGCTTCTATGTTTGTGGTGATTTAATATATCCCCAGAAGAAACCTAATATAGGCTACACTTTTTGTAGTTCTTAATGGAGTGTCTTATACTCCATAAATACATTTTATAAGAAACACAAACGCAGGTTATACACATGGACTTCACCTGATGGTATGCATAGGAATCAGATCAATTACATCTGCGGAAAAAACCGCTGGAGAAGCTCAATATCAGGGATGAAAACTAGGCAAGGAGCTGATTGTGGAACAGACCACCAACTACGCATATGCAAGTTCAAGCTGAAACTGAGGAAAAGGAAACCAAGTCCACAGGAGCCAAAATATGACTTTGATTTCATCCCAGCTGAATTTCAGAATCATCTCAGGAACAGGTTTGAGACCTTGAACACTGATGAGCGAAGACCAGATGAGTTGTGGGAGGATGTCAAATGTATCATCCAGGAAGAGTGCAAACGGTCATT